CGAAGTATCCCAAGTGCCCATTAGTGTATAAGTGGCTAAAAAAGCTGGGGTACATTTACACAATGGAATACTACTACGTCATAAAAAAGAAAGAAATCTTACCCTTTGCAACAGTACAGATGGACCTGGAGAAAGTTTTGCTAAGTGAAATAAGCCAGTCAGAGAAAGACAAGTGCTATATAATTTCACTCATGTGGCAAGTGAACAAAATAAACCAGCAAACAAATTAAAAACAGACTCATAGAGAACAGACTGACTTCTGTCAGAAGGGAGGGTGGTTGTGGGCCTAGGTGAAAAAGTTAAAGGGATTAAGAAAAAAAACCCTCACAGACACAAACAGTACAGTGATTACCAGACAGTAAAGGTGGAGAGAGCGGCAGTAAATGGTGATGGAAGGGGACTTGACTGGGACTGGTGAACATGCAACACAATATACAGATAGTGTAGTATATAACTGTATACCTGAAACCTAGATAACTAACCAATGTCACCCCAATAAACTTAAAAAAAAAAGAAAAAGAGAAAGACAGTGCTTCTTTGGCAGTAAGCTTCTCAGCTTACTTCAAGAAAGCATAAGCTCCTTTGTTCTTTGTTATATGAGGACAGTCAGTACTGGACTATGTGTTACTCTCCAGGGGATGTTCAGCAGAACCTGCACTTTAAAGCAATAAATACCTGCATAAAAACTACATGGGAGTGCTGTCAAATAATTTCATAGAGTAGCCTCTTCCACTCTAAAGTTACACATAGCCACATGTTCATTTTATGTTATGTGTTTTTGATTTTCAGAGTATATCTTTCATCCAATGATATGAACCATAATTACTCTTCCTGCCATAAAGTTAAAAAATGATAATATTAATTAGTTCTCCAACAATACTCCTCAGGCATTTATAGATTCTTTTCCATTTATTATTTCCTCACCATTTATTCTTTCACAGTCTGGGTCAGATTACCCCAAGGTGATCCCAGGTATGTAAGAAATAACTTAGGGAAAGAAGTTGGAGAGGAAGCAATCATTACACCTTCTAGCACAACTTCTCTCAGCCTTGCTATCATGGTGGCGGTTGCACACCCCTGTCCTAGTGTGTACGGGGTGTGGAAACATGCTCTACTCTGATGGTGAGAGCTGGAGATGGGAATCAGGGTTAACATGATGTGTAAAGCACTAGCTATGTTTCTGGTGATTTATATTTGCTAGTTCAATTATGACAGCAGCCAGCATCATTGTGTTAACATCCATTTTTTTTAGATAAAAGAACTGAAGTTCAAGGCTCCAGGAAACCTCTGCATAGTCACACAACTAGGAAGTTGCAAAGCTGGAATTCAAATACATTGCACAAAAGTTCCTGTCTTTAATTACACAATGCTGCCTCCAGTGAAGATCGCACACTAGCTTCTCCACATTCTATTACGACCTAAAAAGGAAGTCACTGCCAAAATTTGACTCACCACATTTCCCTTGGAAAGCTAACTTGTAATTCCACCAAGAAAAACCTGTCTTCTTCTATGGCAAATTCAGGGATCTCTTGCAATGGGCTGTTATCTGCAAGAATCATAAGAAATCAAATGTAAGTGTCAGAGCCAGAATTCAAGCCCAAGTTTGTCTGACTCCAGGCCTGTCTGCTGTTCTCACCCATCATATTTCTTCCATTAATGCAAAAAAATAAAGAAGAAATATCAATGTAACCAATATTACATAGAAATGGATTGCTTTTAACTACATGTGTTCATCAGAGTTGTGTGAATGACTTGATGCAGCTGTCTTCCTTGGGAGACATTTGCATGCAAGAAGTCTCAGGCCTAAACACCTGGAAAATCTAGCCATCAAATTATTTTAATAGAATTGCACCAAGTCCCTAGCTGCAAGCATAAGAAAGTGAAATAAGCAAACTTTTATACTCTAAAACAAAGAACTCTAATATTAGAAAGCTTAGTCTCCCCACAGTGACACACACAAGCTTTCCTCAATGCTACCTAGTATCTCCCCACCTGAGTTGGTTGCTTTGCACTGATTGCATAGTTCACTCATCTAAGCCTTCTACAAACTCAGTGTCTTCTATTTGGAATTATTTCCTTGATTTATAGCTCTGATCTCTCTTTAACATATCTTCCTAGAAAGCCTTACTTGCAATTTCTTTGAAGTTCCCCTTTAATCCAAAAATGCCAGTCACAGACTCTCAGATATGGTATCATAAAATACAACCCCAATATCCTTTCTTCCTCTCAAAAGTAACATTAGGGTTTCCTTTTGTGGGCCGAGGGGAGTGGGGGTCTCCAGATACTACCAACTGTTCTCTTAATTACAAGTTATAAAGTCAGTTCCAGCAAAAGCTTCCAAAGTCAACTACTAAGCTCAACTCCTCTCAAATAAACCTGTGATTTTAGTTCTAAAACCACATTTCCAGGAGGCCTGACCTCACTATTCTAAAGTAAGCCAGAACCCATTGGAACACAGGAGCTACCCAGCAGGGGGAAGAAGGTTCAGAGATCAGGCTTTTACCTGGGTAGTTAAACTTGTCCAAGGCCTCCACAACAATTTAAAGAACATACAATCATCACAAACAATCAGAAATAATACACAATAATCAGGCACGGTATATTTCTAAAAGTACTACTAGTAACTACGTTTGACTTGGTTTTGAAGTGATCTGAGTTGACATTTTCACTCTAATATACAATGTTGAGCAAGGAGGTATCTTAATCTTTTCCCCACCCCTCAGTTTTCTCATCTGTAAATTGGGAACAGTAATAGTACCTAGCAAAGAGCAATAATGAGGACTAAAGAAGATGATACTTGAAAGTGCTTACCACAGAACCAATCACATACTTTTCAGAGAATTAGTTATCATTGTTCATTTTCATATAACAACTTTTACATATTCCCCTTGGCATACTACTGTTTCCAGCAAGTATCTATGACCCAGGTAGATGAAACTCTGACTAACAGTCTTGAGTGTATCAGACCGAAGAGTACCCCTCTTACGTGGCTTTTGCCTATCCTTGTTGGTTCTGCTTCTAATCATCAAACTCTAGTCCATGTAAATATTTGCCATAATTTCCTGAAGAAAAACCAATTGCTCCTAACAAGTAAATATATTATTTTCTGGGCCTAGTTTTCTAAAACTTCTGGGTAGCTGTCTTCTTCACACAGAATTGATTTTTTCCCTTATTATCTTCTAGAAACTTCTGCCTTTAATGTCACTAATACTTATACCTATCTAACCATTATGCCTTCTCTGTACACTACAGTATTATTTTCTGTACCTGGGCACTAGAAGAAGAAATTAAGAGAAAGGTAAATGTATAGAATAGCAGGCAGTTTTCTATAAATTACTTTGATGCTCATCTAACAGAAATACTAGGAATAATGAGAAAATTGATTGTCCTCCCTGCTGCCATCACTGCTGACTACAAATAAAATGTTCTGAAATACTCTGTAATTTTATATAGAAAGCTTTGGGAGTCTTTGGAATACTTTCTCAGTAAGGGCTTAAGTTTTTATTTTTGTTTTGGTTTGCATTTTAATATAATCTAAATTATCTTCCAAGAACATTAGGTAGTTTATAATAAAAAAAACTATAAATTAAGGCCAACAAATTAGAGCTGAAATAGACAGAATAAGATAATTCTAAACTGGTAATTTATTTTGTTCTGAACTACTTGGAATCCAAGGCAAAAAAGTATTAAAATGGTTTCTATAATTTTATTTATTTCTAAAATTAAAAAGGAAATAGAACTTAAACAAATAATCAAGAAGCACTTTCCAAACCCATGGAAAAATCTGGATCCTCAAATCTAAGAAGCTAACAGAACACCTAATGATCTCAATCCAAAAATAGCATTCATAAATGCATATTATGTTGAAACTGAAAAATTAACACAAAGAAGAATTCTTAAGGCAGCCAGAGGGAAAAAAACAGTAACCAGCAAAAGAAATACCATTAGATTATCATCAGATTTTTTAGCAGAAGCCCTATGTGATAAGAGAGAGTGGAATTAAATATTCAAATTATTAAAGACAGAAATCACCAAAAAGTTAATCAAATTTGTACAAAAACACAGAAGACCCTGAATTGCCAAAGCAATCTTGAGGAGAAAACATAAGCCAAAGGTATCATACTCCCTGGCTTTAAATTACACTACAAAGCTGCAATAATTAAATCAGAATGGTATGACAGAAAAACAGACACATAGAACAATGGAACAGAATTGAGAGCCCAAAAGTAAGCCCATATATATATTGACAACTAATTTTTGACAGAAAAAAAAAAGCCAAAAACATACAATGGAGAAAAAGAAGCCTCTTCAATAATAGAGCTTGGAGAATTGGAAAACCACATGCAAAGGATCTAAGGGTCAAAAATAGACTAAAATCTCAATTTGGAGTTGATAAATCAGAAAAAGTAATTAATGGATCAACAACTATTTATTGAATACCTTCTAGGCTGATGGGCCTCTCGTTATTACCTTGCACGTAGAAGCATTCACTAGGATATAAAAATGTGATATGAAAAACTGCCACTTCTTTCGCAAAAGATAGAATTTGTCCAGACCACCTGCTTCTCAACAAAGTCAAAGTTCACTTCCAAGTGGAAGAAAAAGTGCATTTTTCATTGTTCATGTCTTCAACTAACAGAAGTGTCACCTCCGGATTCTTTAAAAGGAATAAAAATGTATGCTCTGGAAAACAATATTTTCAAAAAGTCTGAGGTGACCAGAAGCAGTATATAACAACAAAAAACACCAACCATAACAAATACATTAAAATGTTTATGATAGCAGAGTTCACTTAGTTCAAACAAGTTCAGCAGACACAGAACACAAAGAAAGGAATGGGAAAGAAAAAGTCTTGAAATTCTAGGAAAAAAATTAGTTGAGTCATTTGTATAATTCAAGATTCCAATTATTACAGGTTATACTGGCTGTCCATATTTTCTTAATCCCAGAAGCATAAACAAAATTATTTTTCAATTATAATAGAAGTAGATTCTACTTACTCCTTGTGGAAATATCTGAATAATATTTCCAGCTATATTAAGGACTCTTAGGTTTGTAAGATCACAAAATCCCTGTGTAAGACAACAAAAGAGAGAGATTCTTAAAAATCTATAAAGTATATAGAATAATAAATGTTTCTTCTAAATTTGAACTTGATGGTGTTGACCATCTTTTCTAATTACCTGATCAATTCTTCAGTACACCCTCCCCAAGGAGATTACTATGTCCTGGATTACTAGATTCTTTGAGTTTTCCATTTCCTTTGACCGTACAAAGTCAATGTATCATGGTGGCCAAGAGTCGCGCTATTTGAAGGTTCAAATCTCACCTCTGACATTTACTGTGTAACTTTGGTTAAATATCTCAGTCTCTTTGTACTTCAATTCTCCATGTGTAACATGGAAATGCTAATGGAAGCTCCTACTTTGATGATCATTGAATGAGTTGAAAGAGTTACTAAAGTGCTTACTAAAGGGCCCAATACAGAGTGACCAGTTGGTAGACATTACTATCATTAAAATAGAAAGAATCTTTGAGAAACAGACAAAATCTTAGAAAGTTGTCTGTATTGACAATTCCACAATGTTCATTTCTTTTCTCCCTTTTGCTTAGCACTGCACTCACAGAACCCTTTCCTTAAAAAGAAAAATCTGTTAGGGTTTCTACCTATCTACAAGCACAATATGGCTGGATGGACATATACATCCACATACATGTGCAGACATACACATAACTTATAATGTACCAGCAAATGACTTATAATTTTGTCATTACTGGAACAAATGAATATTTTCTGTGATGCTTTATTACTTATAATGCAAACAAAAAATGATAAACGGAATCATATTAAATGCACCAGGACATAGGTGATCATAGGCATTCCTCACATAATAATTCAGGGTAGGGCTTATTAGCATTCAATTTTTTTAAAGTCTAAACTTTTTGGGATTTGTAAATTGTAGAAAAAGTCCTTTTAAGTTAGAAAAGAATGTATTTGAGTACCTTCTCTGACCTTTGCAAATTGTGTTCAAGTCACATAATCTCTGTTCCTTATTCTAAAATGGGTATAATAAAAAGAGCTACCTCATAAAGTTGTAATAAACACTAAAAAACAAGATAATGATCATATTTCTGCTGTTAAAACTTTTCCCTCAAATAAAGGAGTTATACTTTTAATAGATTTATTACATAATTTGAAGATATTTTTTACTTGTTTATAGAAATTAGGATTTTTAAAGAATTTAAGAATAAAAATTTTGAAATTTACTTATTTATAGCCTACATCTTAGTATATTTTCATATATTGCATTATAGTATGCACAAAATTTTTAAAGGGAATATTCTGTTGTAAGAAGAATGAAATATTAGGAATTGATCTGCTTTTATATCTCTCAGTTTATTCTATAACACGCATTCCTCCTACCAAATTAATTCTAACTTGCATAAGGAATGAAGGTAAACCCAATGGCAGGTTCCTAACAGGAAACACTACTCTCCAACTGGGAAATTTGAGGAGAGTTTAGTAAAATCACTACTTATAAAAGCTTGACAGTGTTTAGGAAAACCTAAGCCACAAAACATAGTTCCCTAATCCCATAAAGTTCCCAAAAGTTCCCAACAGCAGAAAGGTTTTTTATTTTTAAACACCTTAGGCTGAAAGAGCCAGTGGTAATGGTCCATATGAGGATTACCCTACATTAGCTATGGTTTTCCAAAAAAGTGTACAGGAAACTCATAGCACCCCATCAGGTGGGGTACCGGGGGAATGCCATCTGATGCTCACTCTTCGCCCATCCTTTTATATCCTGCTAGTGCCTCTCATTGGCCATGTCCAAGAACAAGCCAGAGGACACAAGAGCTCAGTGATGCCAATATAGGTGAGTCCTCCAGATGCAAAGTAGGTTGAAAAATGATAAAGAGTGGATATGAAGAAAAATGAGAGACATCTAGCACAAATTCCAAAACCAATATGCACTTATACTTACCCAGTATATAGGGCTGCCAGATAACATATAGGAGGTTCACTTAAATTTAAATTTCACATAAAGAATATTTTTAATATAAGTTATGTCTCATATTAGTATTTGGAACATACTTATACTGGAAAATTACTCATTACTTAACTGAAATTCAAGTTGAAGTGAGTTAGCCTGTACTTGTGTTTATTAAACCTGGCAGCCCTAGCTAAGAGAAATAAACCAAATTACAACCCTCCTTTGTCACAGGAACTTGGGGACCGACTACATCTAATCACAGGGAAAGCAGATGATGGTCTGCACTCAGATGCCCAAATCTATTCTATAACCCTTCCCAATTGTGTTGTGATGAGAGTTGTTCCCCAACAAAATAAAATTTTGTTGCCTGTTTCGCTTACCTCTGGCAAAACTTCAATGCTGTTCCTGACCAAAAAAAGCTTCTGGAGCATCTTCATGAACTTAATTTCTTCAGGTATGCAAATGAGCTGATTGTAGTTAAGTTGAAGTTCAGAAAGTTTCATAAGAAAACAAAGTTCTCTAGGAATACTGGATAGCTGGTTATAATTTATACTCAAATATGTAAGATTTTTTAATCTAAAAAAATAAAGCATAGGAATGAAACTCACAAAAATAAGAAAAGCTACTGTACAGACCTGGTTTGTGCAGCTCATCCGAGCCCGTACAAAGCAGTGTTTGTACACATTTCAGTCCAGTGTTCACAACTATGGTGAATCACTGGAACATAAAAAAATCTTTGTGATCATCAAACTTTTGAAGATATTTTATATTCATATGGCTTACATTAAAAGAATTTTATATAATCAAAACCTAAATTTTAAAGAAAGAAAATCCTATTTTTATTACTTGTGAGTATACATTCACTATATTGAAGAGGAAGCCAGGGAGCAAAGTAGGATATGTGTGTGTATGTACACACATCTATATGTAAGTGTGCATGTGTGTATACATGCATGTGTATATATACATATACATATATGCACACACATATTTCCACAAAGTAGGGTGTGTATATATATTGAACAAAGTAGGATATATGCATATACTTACACATATATATTCACACATGCACAAATTTACATATAGATATAAACATATGTGGGTATAGATATAAGTATAGTTACAGATTATATATCTTGTACCAAACATTTGTGAGAATCACTTGGTCCCTGTGGAAGATACAAAGATGGATCAAACACAAATTCTGCTTTATTTATGTGCCATGGTCCGAAGCAGATTACATAAAGTTATAAAATAAGGATAGAAAATACCATTGGACCACAAGAAAACATTAAAAAAATCTGAATCTATAATTACAGACATGATATATGATGTATGCCACAAACATTTTTGAAAAATTGACGTTTGAATTTGGGGATACAAAAAGAATAAAAATAGCCAATAATAATAATAGCTAACATCCTTTCATCATTTACTATGTCCCAGACTCAACCCTGAATGTCGTTGACGGGTTATCATATTTAACCACCAAAACAGCCCTGTGAAATAGGCATCATTATAGTCCTCATTTTGCAGATGAAAATACCAAGGTATAGGAACGTGACGAAACTTTCCTCCTAAGATCAGAAGATGGAATCACTGATGGGAAGCTAACCATGCAGCTTACATCTAAGGCACGGCTAGAATACAGACAATCCAGAATTACCGGTAAAATGGTGCAGAGCTATACATTTTCTAATCCTTTTTCCAGTGAAGGTTTTTATTCACTTTTCTAACATAGCACCATAGATTTATACAGTCCATTTAATATTTTATTTCGTACCCCAAACAGAGCATAATAAATTGTGAAATTATAACATAACTGCAAAGATTTGGAAGTTCACCTACTCAAAAATTCTCCCTTTGGAGTTGAGAAAGCTATGGTATAGGATAAATTACTCACTCTGAGTCATAAGGCTGGTGGCCAGTTATACAAATACATGAACCTGAACCTAGTTCATTAGGTCTTCCAAGGTATCCCTTTTTTATTATGCCAGTACATCAATCAATTGAATAGGTGAAAAAGCAAGCAGACTACTATTGGTGTTTTCATTGCTATGAATATTCCTCATCTCAAAAAATTAAATTACTTCAAAATTTTTTCCTAGCAGCTCTGACTTCAAACACTACTTTCTTTGTAAAAATCTATCTGGGAAACAATACTTTTTCTAGCAATATGGATAACTGAATTAGAATAGACTTTATTTTTTTACATACATTAGTGGTGGCAGGAAAATAGAATAGACTTTAGATGCTACAGAAAACCTTTTGTTTAAGGATGTTCATAGCTTTGTGTCCTATTTTAAATATCTGGATGCTCTTAATTCTATAATATGTCTGTGTCTGCTCAACAGCAATAAAGAGTCTCCAAAGTAAACTGGAGGAAGGTTTTCTCTCCATCTGCAGGAAGCAAAGCCCAAGCCGGTGGCCTGCCTGCGGAAGCACGAGGCCATCAGCTGGCTCCAGAAAGGTGCTGCAAAGGCAGCCCATCTGCACAGATGTGCAGGAAGGAGAAATGGTATTTTTTTTTTGCTCTTCCTGTTAATGATAATAAAATGTGGGATTTTAAAAAATGCAGATGACATCTTGACCTTAAATCTTTTGCTTTTATAATACCTTTCCTACCAAGCTGAAAATGACTTACAATACTCACATGAAATAAAATTTAATATCACTGATTCTGTAGTGGAGCAAGCTCCAAGAACCACAGACTTGGGAGATCCATATCACAATGAACTTTGGAACTTTATGTTTCCAACCTCCGACTTTTACACTTGGACTACCACACCACACTGCTTAAGGAAACATCTGCTTAAAATTAGCAGCTTGCCTCTGTCCTTTAGGTGCCTCTTTGCTATATGTTCAAATCCCACTAGGGCTTGAGGCTGGGCATAGGTTTTCAGATGGCTCCGGTGAGCTGGAGGATTTGGGGGAGGGGCGTTCACTAAGTCTCACTATGAACAAAATTACCTGCTGATATCTTCAGGAATCCATGTGAGCTGATTATTATTCAGATTAAGCAGGGTCAAATTTTGTAAGCCATCTGTCAGAAAATAATTTTAGTCACTTTAGCTGTACATTTGAAAATCATTTTTAGCCACTTTTCTGTTAACTTTGTTTTCTTTCTGATTTTTGGCCTTAGCCAAGGCTCTCTGGGTCACTGGTAACCAATAACCTTTAAAAGTAGCTTACACAAAAGCGCTAAATTTATCATAAATTTACAACGCTGCATCATGGTGCCTGGGGACAAAAGGTGCAGCTAAGCTACCACAAACTGGAACCACAAAGGTACTGCAAAGGGCACCAGAACACAGACTTTAAAAAACAACAACTCTGAACGGCAGTAACATAAACATGTACTGAGCAAATGAATGAAGTCCAAAGGCTCTTTATGGTGACATCCATCCCAACTAAACCTGCAGCGGGAAATCGAACACCCCATGCCCACCAGCATCTGTGAAGCCCACACTCAGCTCTGACAGGCCCAGCATGTGCGCTCCCAGGCAAACCAACGCAGGCACACACGGCACCATCTCCCTGCACATGTGCACACCCGTCCCTTCTCGGGGCTCACCTCTCCTGCCCGTGCTTCTGTGCCCTGTTCCCTGCTGCACACGGCACCTCTATGAGACTGTCCACAATGGCAGTCTTTTAAAAGCTCAGCAGGATGGACTCCCTGGTGATGAGGATGAACTGCACACTGAGTGTGTTCTCAAGTGTCTGCAGCTCCAGGGCCAGGTTCTCCCTGGAGTAGGATGAGTAGTTTTGCACTGGGACACGTAATAGGTACTTGCAGATCTTCACAAGAGACTCAAAGGAACTTGGGAATTCTTGATTGTATTTCATAGAGAACATGTCCTCATCATTCACCAGCTTCTGCATGGAGCTCAAGACTAAGCCAGTGTACTGGGGACTGTGCACTTGATCTTCTTCCCCTGCTCTTTGTACCACTAGTACTAGGTGTTGCATGCAGCCATCATCTAGCACACCTCTCCTTTGCAGAGTTCTGAGATGGTGCTGTACCGCAGGATGACAGGGTGGAGAAATGCTGTGGCTCATTGCAATCTCAGTCTCCCAGGGCAGCACCACTAGCTGCTTGAACTTGAAGTTGGTGATTTCAGACTTGGTGTATTCCTGCTCCAGATATACCCTCTTCTTTGTATCAGGCTTCTTCCCATTGGGCTTCTCCCTATTGGGCTTCTCTTTAGACTCTGCCGTGAGCCAGGACATGGGCTGCACAGGCCCACTGCCCCCACTGCTGCACACACCGGGCCCTCTGACCACAGCAGTGGTGCTGGCAAGAAGCCATATTAATACAAATATACTTTATTATATAAACAAACAATAAGTATAGATGTTATGTAATTATAGGCTGATATATGTATTGGTTTTGTATATGATCACTCCTGGTAGACACAAAAATGCTCATGCTTAGGGTCTCTAGGGCTTCAGATACTTCCGAACCACTATTCCAGGTTGTGATGTCCAAGGAGCCCAGGCCATGGTCTGGGCCATTCTCCAGGCTAATTGTCTTCCCCACCCTGAGCTCCTCAAAGCCTGTAGATTATATGTTCTCTGAGAATCTCTGCAGCACAGAGAATGCAAGACATAGTTTCCTTTCTCATTACAGCTTCTCTCAGCTTCATATTCATGTTCTCTCTCCCTCTCCAATTCCTTCTCTTTTGAATAGATTTTCTCTAATTATCCACATGTTCATAGCCCTCCTACAACTCCTGCTTTTAAACATTTGCAGAGAGGATAAACAGTTCTCAAACTGAAATGGCTGCAGGAATCAAGAAGACGACTGGAAATACAGCAGTGGGCCTCGTGGGAGTGCACCTGGCCCGAGTGTGCGGAGCTGGAGAGCACACGCCTTGGCCAACAGGGAGCAGCCACTCGGCCAGCTCCTAGCAAGTGCTGTCGTATGCTAGTGTGAATCCTGTGGTGCCTAACCTTTCTTTAAAAAAAAACAGACAAAAACAGCCAGGAATCCAGATTTTTATATGAATTCTCTTAATCTGCAAATCTTGGCACTAAAGTCAAACTTTAAAAAAAGCAAACAGTGCTGGTTGGGTGGCTCAATTGGTTGTTGGCACATTGTCCCATATACTTAAATGTTGAGGGTTCGATCCCCAGTCAGGGCACATACATAGCTTGCAGATTTGATACCCATCTGGGTTGTGTATGGAAAGCAATTGATCAGTGTTTCTCACTCCAATTGATCTCTCTCTCAAAATTAATAAACTTATCTTCAGGCAAGGACTTAAAAGAAAGTAGACAAAACAGAACTAACCTATTTGTGAACTGAATTCAGCCCATGGGCCACCAGTGTATAACCACTGTCTTAGTTCACGTGATTAGCTCAAACTAATTAAACTGTTTTAGATTGTATCAGAACTCCCAACAAAGAGCGTATGACTGACCCAGCTCAGGACACATATCTACCCCTGGTTCAGTCTGCTCTGGTCTGGGGCCAGGGGACCCATTCACAGGACTATGTAATACATGCTGGGCAGTGCTCAACTCCCTGACGTCAAACTGTTTCTGCAGCTGGGCAATCGTGACCTGACACAGAACATAGTTTATGTCGATCCCATGAGATTTTCCAATTTTAACAGCTCCAAATTAAGATGTTCAGAAACTGAAGACATTCAGGACACTGCACGCAGATGACACATAGTTTATAAACCTTACATTTAAGGACAACAAGAGAAAAAACTTTTTAGAACTCCAAATTAGAACTAATTAGGTTGCTTAATACCATTTATAGATATCAGATTTTACTGAAATGTGTTCTCTCAGTATAGTTCATAAAATAAAATTGTCTACTTGTTTCCAGGCCCTGAATTTTTTCTTCGGTGAACTCTTCCCAAGTAAATTAGAGTTGAATGCTCAATCTATGGCTTTGTGTCTGTAATGTGCATAAGCATTGATACGTGTTTGTCACATTTTTTGAGTAAAAATATTTCTCTAAGATATATGATATATGATTGAAAAGTACTTTAAATAGATGGTACTAGAGTCTCTTAGTGCTATTTGCCAAATATACCCCTAATTTAGTGCCCCATGCAATAATACCCTTAATAAAAGCTGCTTGATTATGACAATGATTATATATAGTACCCAGGTCTCGAAAGTTCACAGAACCTTGTAAACTGTATAATATATCTTTAGTTTTACTACTGGGGACAAAGACACAGAGTGATAAAGTACCTTATATGAGTTAATGGAGCTATAAAATTCACCTGAATTTCTTGGTCGTATGTTCTGTCCTTAAACCCACTCCACCTATATTAATTAAACAGGTAGAGTTTCATATTGAATGGCAAGAAAAACATAGGTCTAAAGGAAACACACAAAAAGAATACCACTAATTGGATGTCCTATCTTTTCTTTAAAATTCTCCACCAATTAATTTAAACCTAAATCTTGAGCAAAGATTGTGACTTAGTATCTGAGATAGAATAAAAAGCGTAAAAAAAAAGGAGAGCTGTGGAAAGATTTTCTTGATTTGATTTTCAACTAGTTTTCATTCTGGCATGAAGGAAGATCCCATAGATTTAAGAGTCTAAGTATACCCTGATTCTGAAAAGGGGAAAATCCACTTATACTAATGCTTACTTAGTTTCTTAGATCTGCATGTAAAAAAATGTATAATACAATAGTCGAAAAAAGTCCCTAAAATTTCTTTGAGTAATATGTAAATATCTCCAAAAAAAAAAAAAGAAAATCATGTGCAATTCCTTTCTCACTTTAGTTCCAGATTGTTAAACATAATGAGGGGATTAAGTTTGATACTATAATACTGCTTTTCTTTGACTAACGTACCACATGCTCCAGGTGCAAATCTCTTAATTCTATTTCCAAACAAATGGAGCTTCTTCAGGGAGGTAAGGTACTTCATCTCTTCTGGAACTTCTTCTAAAAGGTTGTTTCCCAGATTTAGTGTTGTCAGCTGCAAACATATAGAGATTAATGGACTCATACATTATCTACCTTCAAAGGATAAAAACAGAAGGTAATTGGGCCCCTTTGCTGCAATCCATGTGACCTCACACTTCAACATGATCATACAAATTTTTCACATGTGCCTAAAATGATTTTTATAAAGTTCATTTGAGCTCATCATGTTCAAACACCTTATGTTAATTAAAGGACAATTTAATTTTCAATTAAAGTACTTCACTAAAATTGTATTACAAACCATTCCAAGAATATTCAAAACCACAATTAATGATTCACTTATAACTCACTTGAGCAATTCAAGAGTGTCCTAGCATTGTGACCCATAGACTCAAAACCATTAAAAAATCAACAAAGGTGTTGATCTCCTAAAATCAGATATATAGTCAAAAATATGAGGTCCCCCTGTCATCCTATTCTCAAAGGAGCTTTTTCATTTAGACAACTAAGATTTCTCTATTACCAGTATAGAGTCAGAGGGAGGGGGAGGGCTTTAACATCACTGTGTGATCACAAAATTCACGAGAAACTACTGACAAGGTATGGTAGGTAGGGCAGGAAGATCTGCCCCTATGCACCTGTCCTACCAAGGATGCATTGGTTACATGTAGGAAGTGTTGCATATAAGAGGGTTAGAAAGATGCTCTTGGACCCTCTGATAAGTCCATGATACAGGATTGCTCTCTAAAACATGGTATTTTTTCTTGGATTTGAAATCAAAATGTACCTTCTGAGATACAAGGTCTTTTTTTTACTCCAAAACATAATTTGCCATTCAGATTTCCTGACCAACTTCATACTCCAGAATTTTAACATTAAAAGGTAAAAGGAAACATGGAAGCTTTGACAAATAAATAAGTTTATATAACACAAGAAAAATTATTAAGAAAAAAATTTAGGCAATTACATTTATATGTAAATACCAAGTGGTATTTGGAGTGGATGGATGTTAATGATTTAAATTAATATAAAGTAGACATAGATGTATCTACAATGAAATTCCTTGCCCTTAGAATTCATGGGAAAGGTTTTACTTCCATACATGCTTTCCTCTGAGATTTACCATTGTCCCGGAAACAAAGGACCATGTACCTTGGAGTATGGTCCTTATTCTTTTGTAAAGGTGAAGTTAAAATATATCTTGTTTTACTGTACTTCACAGGTGGTGTGCTTTTTACAAGTTGAAGACAAGACCTTCCAATAGCAAAGAGATTACAATTTTCTTTATCGCAATTTTTATTATGTAGTCTGAAATCAAAATTGCAATATCTTCAAGTCATGTTTATATTCATGCAGCTATTCTTATGACAACACTTAATCCAGAGTTTGTGACTGTACTCATTTCCTGTTGCCTATGGTAACAAATTACCACGCACTTCATGGCTTGAAACAACACAAACTTATTATCTCCAGTTCCGGAGATCAGATATCAGAAATGGGTCTCACTGACCTTAAACCAAGGTGCCAGCAGGGCCACGTCTCCTGAGGGGACAACAGAATTCTTTGCCTTGTCCAGCCCCAGAGGCTTCCCGCTGCTGTGGTTCTAGCTCGCCCTTTCATCTTCGCAGCCAGCAACAACTGGGACTCTTCCTCAAATCGCAGCGCCCTGATGTTTTCGTCCACACTTAAGATCCTCATAATAACAACTGGCTCACCCAGATACTCCAGAACAATCTCTCCATCTCAAGGTCAGCTAAGTATTCACTTCAATTCCATCTGTGTGCTTGATTCCCCCATGCCATGGAACCGAACATACTCACAGATTAAGGGGCTTAGGATTGGGCATTTTGGAGGGCCATTATTTGCCTACCACAGTGAAATCTTTTTCAAAAAGGAGGTAGATTTCATTCTTTTTCCTAAATTTAGTAAAAAAAAAATCTGTAGCACTTTGCCAGTGCTAGGAGGTCAACAAAATTGTTGTGCTACTGGTGAGGAACACAAAAATGTCGGGAAACATTTTATCTGCTCTGAGGTTTTACCCAACTTCCAAAATAACAGTTAACTTGCCACCTTTTGTAGATGATGGTAGAAAGCATGAGACCCCTGGGAAAGAGGCAAAGGCCAATTTATTATCCACAGCCACAGCACTGCCCAGATTATTGCTATTTTTGTACCAGCAGTGCAGGGATGTGCAGTGGGTAGTATTACAGAAAAGAAAACATGAGTTAAGGAAACCGAGTCTGCTATAGTGAGCATTAACTATCCGTGGCCGCTCTTTGCCCTACAGGGAGACACCATCTCTAATTCCCAAAGTTCTCTGCTACGTAAATATCCTGGAAGAGTGAGTCCAGAACAAAGGCAGTCAGTACTTCTTACAAGATGTGGGGAGGCAGGAGAGATACGTGAATTGTCTCCAACAAAAAGATGGCAATATGTAATTTTAAGTAGTTGCCAGTTTTTTTGTTTTTGTCAATTTTGTTAATGGCAATATGTATTTTTTAAAAGTAAATAGACAACAGGAAATATCACTTGTAATTTCACACACCATCCATGCTTTCCAGGTATTCTTGAGGGTACAGATTGTATAATGCTCATTTCGTATGCTATGCCCTCATTGCTCATGTATGAGTTTTATTTTTGTCATTGCGTTTTACAGAATCTAAGGACATGACTCAGATATAAGATAATACAGTAATTTGATATCACAGTATGTCAAAGAAAATCACAAGATATAAACAAGGTTGACTATCAATAGCCGTTTTATTTAATTTTTAAGGCTTATAAATATATCCACAAATAAATGATGAAAAAATACAGTCTAAACTGCCCATATAACCATCTCTAAGGAAGCAGGTGACTCAATATTCATTTAAAAATATGCATTGTATGACTACTATGAGCCACTAGTTAGTTCTAAGTGTTGAATATAAAGAGGCGAATAAGACATGTAAGATATATTTACCTGAAAAGCACTCACACAGTAACAGTGAGAGAGCAAAAACAAAATGAATGAATAAATGGTTAAACAAATTAATAAGAAAAAATAAAACTAGACCAGTAAATTACACCATACAGAAAAATAATCTCAAAATGGATTAAAGACTTAAATGTAAGCCATAAAACCATTAAAATTTTAAAAGAAAATACAGGCAGTAAAGTCTTAGACATTTCTCATAGCAATATTTTTGCTAATATATCTCCTTAGCTAGGAAAACAAAGGAAAATAAACAAATTGAGACCATGTCAAATCAAAAAGCCTTTGCACAGCAAAAGAAACCATCAACAAAATGAAAAGGCAACCTACTGAATGGGAGAACATATTTTCCAATTATACATTTGATAAGAGGTTGATTTCCAAAACATATAAAGAACTTAAAAAATTTAACACCAAGAAGACAACCCAATTAAAAAATGGGCAAAGGATCCAAATAGACACTTCTCCAAAGAGGACACACAGATGGGCAACAGACGTATGAAAAGGTGCTTAATGTCACTGATCATCAGAGAGATGCAAATTAAAACCACAATGAGAGATCACCTCACACCTGTCAGAATAGCTATCATCAATAAATCAACCAACAAGTGCTGGCAAGGATGTGGAGAAAAGGGAACCTATGTGCACTGTTGGTGGGAATACAGTCTGGTGCAGCAACTTTGGAAATTAGTCACTGTGCCAATCTCTCTCAAAAAATTAAAAATGGAACTGTCTTATGACCCAGCAATCCTACTTCTGGGAATATATTTTTAAAAACCCAAAACACTAATTTGAAAGTATATATGCAGCTCTATGTCTATTGCAGCTTTATTTACAGTAGCCAAGATCTGGAAACAGCACAATGTCCATCAGTAGATGAGTGGATAAAAAGCTGTGGTGCATTTACACAAATACTACATAGTTGTGAAAAAGCAGGATATCTTACCTTTTTTGACAGCATGGATGGACCTGGAGATTATTATGCTAAGTGAAATAAGCTAGTCAGAGAAATACAATTACCATAGGATCTCACTTATATATGGAATCTAAAATAAACTGACAAACAAAATGGAAACAGAGGCACAGACACATGGAACAGACTGACAGCTGTCAGGGGGAGAAGCATTGGGAGGCTGGATGAGAGAAGGTGAAGGGATTAAAAATACTCACGGGCACACACATATATGCATATATAGGCCTGTCACAAATAACGCCCTTTTATTATAAAATCTTTCATTACAAAGTCGTAAGCATGTAATTCTGTAACATAACAATATCACACTCAAGCACAGCACATGACACCTTAGATGAAATGGTCAGAGTGCCGTCCATCTCATGCGAGCCGTTCATGTACCGCACCCACCTCACTCAAGCAGGCCTTAGAAAAGGCTACCACGTGGAGCTCTGAGCCCGACAACCAAGAATATGACGTGAAAGATGAAGCAGTTGCAACTGATAATCTCTTTTTAAAATGTAAAGGATTTCAAGGTTAAAACTAAGATGAAGTACCTGAAACTGGGATTATTCTTCATAGGATAACTAAAAAAAAAATTCATTGATGACCTTGAGATTTACAAAAGTATCTTAAAGACCAGGTGGTTATGCTCTGTCACCATGACCAATATGTCAGAGCTTCAGCCTGGACTACATAAATTATACAGAAAGGTCCACAGACGCCATGGCAAGGAGTGAAAAACTTCCCTTTGAAAAATACCTCAAGACCCAATCTAAAAGTTTCAATAACTCAATAATATTTTTATATAAGGGGATCCCCCCAAACTGGGATTTATTTATAAAACTTGTGTGTTTATCCTTACATGTCTAAACTTCAGTCACCTTTCAAAGCACTCTCCATCTGATGCAATACACCTATGGAGATGTTTTTTCCCACTGCTCACAACAGTTTTGAACTGGTCAATCCTGATGCCTTTCACTGCCCCTGCCATTGTTGTTGTTATTGTTATTGTTTCACCTCTTCCACATCAGCAAAATGTTCCCATTTAAGGACATTTTTCAGCCGGGGAAACAAAAAAGGTCACCTGGGGTAAGATCAGGCAAATAGGAGGGTGGGACATAGG